AGGAAATGTCGATTATGGGGGGGAAAATATTTTAAGTTTATCAAAATAGCGATTTTCTGAGCGTAGTCGGGGAGCGAAATAAGCGATATTTATAAAGCGCTGAGAGTTTTACAGTTAGGGCTTCGAATTTTGTTTGTATAATTTATTATTTAAGCGTGAAATTTATTGGAGAACTGATTTTACTTGCGGACATGTAAATTGTATTAAGTTCGATCGTTTCTTAAAGAGTACGTGCGCGACATGATCGTTGCACGTAAAAATGTTTAAAACCTCCACGAATCTAAAGGTATTATTTATTGTAAAAAAAACTCTTACGGAAATTGCGTAGTTTACAAATAAAAATCGATTTGTGAATACAACTTTTGAAATGTATTTATTGTTTTATTCTATCAAGTTAGTTGAATTACGAATTATAAAGACAAATAATTGATTTGTGAATACCTATCTAAATTGCAAGTGATTGACTTGTGAATATCTAAATTGCTGAAATATGTCTGAAATATATCTGAAACATATATATATACTACGATAAATTTCTACCATATCTGTGCCGTAATTAAGAGATAGATGGATGTTACGCGAAATGACACGAGAAACTTCACACGCATTTAGACAAATAATGACCAAATATATTGCCCTCTAGAAATCGATGAAACCACGACTGCTTTGCGGAAGTACGGGGATTATTTATTGCCCGTGAGATAGCCCCGTCTGAAAAGCAATGGCAGTTTTTTAGTCTTATCGACGTCGGCCGTATTAAAGCTAGGAGAACAAAGAAGAATGACGGAGTGTTTATAAATTTATCGGCAGTGACAGCGAGGAAATAGTTCGACGCGCAATTTATAAGAATGCTAAAGCATGCACCTTATTTATCATCAAAGCGTGCGACAAAGCCGCCACGTGCGCTTAATGATTTTGATATTATTAAAATCAATATATATAACGTCGATGAATCGAGAAATTATCACAAAATACAACATAAGCATAAAAGAGAGTAAAAATTATGTATTATTTTTCATTACTTTAAATTTCGATATTTTGTGGTAATCATTTATTTCGTTGTTTAAATAACAATAATCAAATAAATAAAAAATATATGTGTGTACATGTATGTATGATGATTGAATTAGTTTCGATTTGGTTGATTTTGCTTCGACAAAAATATCTCTTTTAAATTACAGTAATAGTACTAACAATGAATTTTACTGATGATTCGTTAAAACTTTTACACACGTTTGGGGATGCGTCATGCGTGTATATGTGTGATACTTGTTCTCATTTTGGCGCATTTTGTTGCCATGATAAGTGCGTTATCCATCCGTTAGCGAACATTCGTTGAGCTTTACGATACGGTGCATTAGCGACAAACGGAAAATCACGATTTGTCATTTTTCAGTTTGCTTTATGATCCAGCACTACCAATCGTCATATAATTCACCAGCGTCACGCGTCGATAAATTGTTATCATAAATTATGATTCTTTCTTGCTCGCAAATCGTAAAATATGTCGCAATGAAGGTATCGGACAGTCCATGTTAAATGTGTAGTAGATGTCTTTTCATATGTCAGGAGATATAAAATTTCTTATATGAAGCATCCTGTCGTGAAAGGATAATAATACATATAATTTTTCTGCTATCATATCACTAAGTGACTGTTAAAATAAGAATGTCAAAAGTTAATAAATTATGCATCGCGTTTGAATATATCTGGTAAGATATTTCTAAACCAAAAGGAATTGTGGTTTCATGCATCTTTATCGAACAAGGCATTAAATAAAATAAAATAATTTCAAAAATTAGATATTAAATTGAAATTATTAAATTAAATGCATTAGATTGCAAACTAACGGAGCTTCTTTTTAAATCAGGCAGATTTACGCACAATAAAATATCAAATTCTGTTGATTTTCATTAATTCTATACGTCAAGGAGTGATTTCGAGCGACAGAATGAACTAGCGTGCCTCTACTCTCTGATCGTGAGTAGTTCTTTGTGCAAGGGTCTCGAGGGGTTAAAAACTGTCACGGACGTGGCGAAGTGTCGAGGCCGGGTCGTAAGTAAAATGAATTTAACATTTGGCGTTTATATGCGGCCTGCAAACTATGCGCCGTGGGAACGAGCTCGACAAACTCGACGTCGCGAGTTAGGCGCAACGCCTGGCCGTATGTGCCTAATATCCGCTGTACAAACGCGGCTTCTACTATACACATTGCAACGACATGAGGATGCCAGTGCCAAAATTTATCGCTTACGTAATAGAGAGAAGCGGAATTACCGAGAGATTGCGCCGGCCTGGATCCCGTCAAACTTTATCGGCGTTTTATATCAATGCGAATTTGATAGTTAAACGTGCAAAAATTACCACAGCTTGTACGAACCTAAAACTTGGAATTATTCACACGTTGGCAGACCGCCAGGATCAAATTTGAGATTAAGTAGATATTAGGGAACTTATGCAGCACCGGAATTAAATGAGGATTTTGCATAGAAGTTTGATAATTGATAATTTGATAATTGATGAGAGAACTTACCGGCGATTAAGTCACGACAAAGAAGCAAAGATGAATATCTTTCTCTCTCCGACGAGATCCTCTATGTAATTTTCTTCGGCGCGGAAATGTCCGAGTGTAAATGTCGCGATTATTATCGCGATGAACGTTATAGGAAAGACCGTTGAGGATAATTATCTTGTAACACGAGATTGGGATAAGTACGTTGTGTATTGTACGTGTAGCGAATTGCTCACTTTAGAAGCAGGCAACGGTAATTTATCTAGCGCCGCGGATATAATTATCGTTGACAACGCACGTTGAAATATCTGCGACACAATCTACGAGAATGTTGAGATCGTTCCATTAACTCTGGTCATCACGGGTTATCCGCAATTCAGATATAATCGAATACAGCTAGTTTAACAAAATTTCATCCTCGGCACTCGAAATCCGCGTTACAAAATTACATTTAAAAGTAAGCTCGCGTTTATATATAAAATAAAGCGACGTGCGAGGCAAACTAATCTCTTAGTTATCTCTTGTATCATACATGATTAAACGAATTAATTTTATTTTCTCAACCTTTTTATCAAAATGTCATATTAAAACATTAAATTTCATTTCGATCATTTCTCTAGGAAACGTTAAATGTAATTGACAGTGGGAAGTAATAAATGCGGTTCATGGACTGTTAAGAAATTTATGCGACAAAGTAATTACGATCGAGCAGAGGTTACCACATGCTTTCTGACTATAGAATTGATGCCGTCGGTTCGACGCATGGAAATAGCGTTTCCATAATAGTGCGAGGAAATCGCTCCATTAACGGTGATCACCTCAAGTAACCCGCAATTTGGAAATAATTGAACAGGGCACGATCGAATTCAACGATTTAAGCCGTGCGTCATCAGCATATTTCCGCACGTTAATCGACATCTCGCATGCTGCATAATTTATACCGTGTGCATAAAATAGTGCATAAGTGCTCTCGATCTATTTTGCGTAACAAAATATGTAAAATTCATTATACTTTTGTCGAAGGATATTAAATAATAATCGGTGATATCGACTGATGTTTGTATAAAGTGACGTTCTTCTTCTACCTCGACGGACATATCACGAAAAATGTTTCGAAAGAAGATCCAACTAAAATTTTCAAATGCAAAATGAAAAGTAGCGAAAAACGTTGGAAACCCGGCAGGATACAATTCTCGCGACGAATGTTCTCTTCTGGAGTGCTGGGTATCCCTGACACTTCCCTATTTTACTTCATCTCTTTCCTCACGCGACACTCGATCTAATTCACACATTACAGAAAACGGTGCGTGTGATACGTGTGTCGTACGTGTGTAACATGTAATGCTATATATCATATATATATGCCTATATTATGTATATAGATCCGAGCTGAAGCTACGAAGCGTGAGAACGGCTATCTATGGAGCATCGCTATTGTGTATTGCACTCGTGAGTCTTGTGTCGGACAGAAGAAGCCGCGAGATGCCCGTCACGGGCGCGGGATGGGGTTTTTCTGGTCACGGCTGGGACGAGGTAGGAGGCAGGTCGAGTCTCTCATGGCAGCAAGGGATCTCTGATGGCGAACGGACAATGAAAGTGGCTCCATTTGCGACGTCGATAGAGCGCCGAGGATCTTACGAGAATCCCCCTTTCACGCGCTGTGGAACGGTGAGACGCCAATGGGATAATTCTCGGCAGTTTTCTGCATGGAAACTTGGCCGCGAGCTCGTTAAACGAGAACGAGGCGTGCACCCGTAATTGGTAATTGGACGGTAATTAAGCGGCGAGAGCCACGATTGAGGCACGTTTTTATCATCGCAATTTCGACAACGAACTAATTACTTATTAATTCCCAAATATGCGTATTAGAAAAATGTAAAAATATTCATATATAAATATATTTTTAAATATTCATTTTATTTTAATTATAATCTTTTGTATTTATATATATATATATTCAAGCGGTGAATGAGTTAATAAGATATTAAATAAAGAAAAAAATTTATAAATTTTTATTAATTTTGGAATGGCTTTATACTTTGCATTAGCCAACGTATATTATCACGACTGATTGTAAAAAGATCGATTTTATCTGCAGTAAAGAAACATTAAATGCAAATTGACTTCAAATTCTTAGTATATATTCGGAAAATCCGCACTGATAGGATAATCAGAAATTTCTGAAGGTCCTATATTATATTGCTATCATCATGTATGGTAAATGGAAATTCTGTGGCAGACTTTCCGAAGATTGTAATCGTGAAAATGTGAGATCTTTTCTTTCGTCGCATCGCACGGCGGTCACATCGACTGCACTTAGGAGAGCCACATTTCATGGTTCTTCGCCCACTTTCACCCTTCGCTTCCGGTTTACCCGAGTAAAAGCGCGTGTAGCTCATTCGGAAGAATTTAAGGGATCGATAATAATCTTGGTGCTCTCGGTGTGTATTGAGCGTGTGTCGGTGTGTAAGTGGAGACAGTAGTGTACCTGGTTGCCGTCGTAGGTCCAGGATCCGAACTTCATGTCACAGTGTTGGTCGTCAAAGGGGAACCAAGTGATGTCTATCTTGCATGTGCTCTTGAAGATGCCCGGAGGGACGTACAGGCAACTGCCGTTATGCGTGACCACCACGTTTGTTTGGTACGTCCCGTCGAAACCCTCATCCGCACTAACGTTTCATATCATTCCATTAATTACCCTCGTCAGTCGTCAATCGTGATCGTTTCGCGGCCGGTTTAATAGCGCGTCTCTTTAATCACCGCATGATAGAGCGCGGGGGCCGTCAGTTCTTATTGCCGCCGGCAAGATCTCGCACGAAGAATATTGACAAACGGAGAATGTCAAGCGAATGTCGCGCTTGTCCGAAAGTAAGGAAATGGATGGGATACTTGAAGCATGAGGGAATTTCTCCGTTCTAATTACATTTTCTTGTGACATTGTAATATCCATTAGAAATGTCTTACACGAAAAAATTAACAGATTCAAGATTAAGCACAATTAGAAATGAGATTACCGATCTTTATTGTCTCACTTTACGAAAGCGTTTCTTCACGCATGTTATGGCTTCTACTTTCGCCACTTTTATTTTAATTATAATATGCGGCTGTATCTTCCATAGAACGTTCTGAATGGATAATAAGATAAGAATCACGAAGGTGAAGGAGAACGATAAAAGAACACTCGCGAATGTTATTCATGAAAATGCAAACCATTTAGGACCGCTTTTACGATGGGCTCTTTAAACGCGACCCGGAATTGCGACGAAAAAGAGAAAGGATGAAAGGGAAGAGGAAGAGGACGAGAAAGGACATTGCGAGCCAGGTCGTGTTAATCCCTTAAGAATAATTCGAATCGGCCACTTAAACAACGTTAAGGGATAAAAGTGAATATCTGTACTGGTCCCGCGAGTCTGCACGCGCGAATTTTTATGACATATTTATTTAGCGTAGTGGCTTATTAAGTTTTCGGATGTCGTATGATAGGACGGCAAGCGCGAAGACTAAGCGAAAAGGATATTTCTATTCCTCTGGGAGACGTGCTAATAAATGGCTGCGGTATCCTTTACGTTGTCACGCAAACTATACGTTCGGCGTAGGTAAATCGAATATTAGACGACCTGCGAGACAACCTGTAGCAATTGATACTCGCGAAGGTACTCGTGAAAGCAATGTGTTGGCATCGTTAATGTTCTCTCAGAGTCGTTATGGTATCGATACTGTCGAAGGTTTTGAGGATGTCATTCTCGCCAATCGAAAATCGATGCCGTAGTATCATTAAAGCCCTTGTGCTTCTAACTACTTTTACACGTTATCGCGAAATGGAGAACGAAGGGGATAAGACAGAACGGTGGGAGAGAGCGGCGGGAAAAAGGAGCGCTTTGGTGATTCTCCCTTTGGAGAATAAAGTTAATTAATTTCATCGGAGAATTGAATTTTCAACACCACTGTATTAATCGCTATCTTGTGTCGTGATCTTCGTACGTGATCTTGCGGCGTTCGTCCGTTTATTCGCGATGAGATATTAAATGTGGTCCTGTCGGTTTTTGTACGTTTTGCCATTTGTCCTAGATCACGGAACTGAGTGACGTTTCTCTTTCGACGTCGATTAACGCGTGTTTTAATCGAATTCGTCCGCGCGCGACCCAATATCAGGGAAAATAGGCTTATGAGATCGATTGGTCTAAAAAACCGGTCGAACGCTCTCTCTAATGTACGTTCATTCCGGCGCGTTATGGATAGCGGCATTGTCGTCGTTGTTGTGTGGCTAATGAAGACTAACGAGAAACGGGATTTCGCCCAAAAAGTGTGTCCGACTAATTAATCTCGTTCGCGCACGACGGAACGAAACCGTGTTGCAGCGAGTACCGGGCATTGGATTTTGTCGATCGTTGTTCCTCTTTTACGGGGAACTTCGTTATCCCGTTGCCGCATTTGTTTCTGGATGTATGTGAGGAACGCGCGATACGCTGGAACACAACTACTACAGACGAGGTTTCGTGGCCATTATTGCGATGATATGTTGTTATGCGAATGTTAATTAGCTACGAAGAAAATATTACAATGGCTATAGCAATTTATAATAGAATCGTGAGAAACTGCACACGTGGCACCCAACATTATCGGCGGCCTGGTCAATAGAATTCGCGATAACGACACGGAATTTAATGATCGAATTGTAAGGGGCTAATTAACGACATCGAGGGACGCATTAATATATAGGTTAATGGCGATCTTCTGACTGGATTATCGCAGGAATGACAGATCGTTTCCGGCACATTATTGACAGGAGTGTCAATTATATCGAGCTACGACAACACGATCTCGATTTATCTCCGATATGATTTCATAGAATTTTCTTGAACGATAAAGGTGAGAAAGTTCTTTTATTTTTCATTCCTTTAGAAACGATGCACACGCTGTTTGCTGAATAGAAATTTAATGAAGTACGGTAAGTAATATACGTCAGCTCGCTTCCATTATCACTGACAAGAAATACGTTGTATCAGGAAAGTTGCGACACTCTTGATGTAACTTAACGTAATCCCGTGTAATGGAAGTTACAATTTAGCTCGACATTGCATTGCACTCGATACCGCGCCATCATAAACTTTCCGTAAATTTGCGAAAGTTTTCGTTAATATTCCTCAACCCTATGACAACAGTAGCCGCAAAAGTTTCCGCTCGAAGAGAAATCAAGTACCTGAATGCCTAATGATTGTTCGACGTTAAGTACTTGCCCAGGATACTCATAGGACGGTTAAGAATGTAAGGAAGTTTTGTGCATGCCACAAACTGTCGTTACGTGAAATCTTTTTAACGTGTTGGTACGTTTTGCTTAGCACAGTGTGAAACGAAGCGGAAGATTATTCAACGCGAGCTAAGGTTGCATTACGCATATTCACAAAATAGTGAACAAATTCCAAAAAAATTACAAATTATTTTAGATCATAAAAATCTTTAAATTTAAAAATAAATCTAAAAAATTTTGTTTTTTATATAAGTACTTTAAGTATTTAAGATGATTTATGTAAAGTTTCATTGCGATGCAGAGATTAGTTGTTCTGTAAATAAATAAAATTATTTGTTTACAGAACAATTAATCTTTGCATCGCAATAAAACTTTGCATAAATCATTTTGAATACTTAAAGTACTTATATAAGAAACAAAAAAACATTAAGATCATTGTCATTATTTTGTAAATTTTAAAATACTATAACAATTTAAAATAATAACAAATAAAATTAATAAAAATTAATAAACACAACTTTTATATGTATATAGTCTATTTAAAGTACAAATATTATCACATTTGTAAAAATGAGTATCATACATCCTTAAAGTGTACCACGGTATTCTGTACAAGTTGTAAGTTGCGTAAAACAAAGAAAAATTTTTGCAGTTAGCAGATAAATCACGATAATTCTAACTTGTTCAAACAAAGATATATCACACTGATCTGGCATCTTTAATTAGCAAAAAACGCGACATCGCAACAAGTAAGATAAGATAAGATAAGACAAGAAGAGAAGACACCAAGAATATAATACTATCCTTCCACAGTGGCGCAACATAAATGAGGTGGATTTTACTATTATTCAAGATAGTCGGCGCACGGTAATCGGGGGGTGCACATATCTCGACGAGTTTATCTGGAGCTTAGAGCCATCTGAAAATCCGATGGAACAGTGAGCAGGAAAGCTGCGCGAAGGTAAGAAATGACAAAAGAATGGCCAGACTCTATCTCACCAATGTGATGTTACGAACGTAACTTGTGAGAGGCTTATGTACTCTATTCGATTCTCTAAGCAAGCACCTCTGTCGGGTAACGGCAAATGTTTGTACGAAAAGTCCGATCTTCAACACCTCAATTTCCGAATGGAAAGAACGTCTATGTGAATTGGACCTTCGAAATAACAATAGTGGAGGTGAATTGCGCAGGACGAATAAGAACCGTCGAATGTCGTTGCAATGTTCAGGCTACTAGAGGACAGAAGCTAAGAAAAATAGTGGTTTTAATGAGGACTTAAATTTACGCTTTTGGTGAATTAAAGCTTGAGAGAGTCAAAGAAAAACTTTGTTCTTCAAAGCTTTAATTAAATGCTGATAGAAATTTAAGTTAATCTTTTGGTATCAAAGTGGAATTTTATTGATTTTGTCAATTGTTGTCTTTATGTACGTTAAAGGAATAGTTTAATTAACGACAGTTACTTTTTTACAAGTTGTAACTTCAAAGTTATTTGATTAACACAGTTATCACAAGAGGCGAAAGGTTTAATTAAAAAATTCATTGTCGATGTGATTAATGTCAAATATTGGAAATTATTATATCTCGAAATATTAACTAAAAAAATCCTCAATTTTATTATAAATGTAACGAATAAAATGGTAATTTGCCAAATATATCTAAAATAAAGTTACGTACTGACGTATTTGTGTTTATATAGACTACGATCCACTTGATATGACTACAAATGCTTCGAAGAATTTTTTTGATCAGTGAATTAGTAAATTCTTTCTCCCAATTGATCAATCAAATGCATCGAGCATTTGTGTAGTATCAAGTGAACCACACCTATAGCTGTACGTTAACGCCAGAAGCGATTACATATCGACTGTGATTGACTGGCGATAATCAAAGTGCGGGCGAGTAAATAAAACAGCAATTGACGTGGATCAGAATAGTGGAGCGGAAAGGATATTCGGCGATGGGCCTCGAGAATGAAACACGGTCCAGCGGGATTAAAGGACAATGTTTATCGAACCGTTCTAGCTTCCTTTTCCTTTTGCAAGCTCTATCCTCCAGTTGCACCGGTATGCGTCAAAGTCCACGCGTTGCCGCGTTCATGAATTCTGAGGGGCGTTTTCGTCGATTGTTCCACGTCGAACAAAGGCGGATCCCACTGCGGTACCTATTGTCAGGTTTTCGGGATAAATTCTGTTCTCGAGAATCGCTGATCCACCCCCTCGGTTTCTATGTTTCGCCTCTGTGCCTCGGTCCCTCTTCATTCGTCCGCGAGTTCTCGCTCACGCAGCACGTCGTCTCTCGTGGGTCGCGATATTCATGAGAGGAGAATGCTCCGGTGTTGTGAGCAACAAGTAAGTCGCGCGCCCTGGATAGTAGGCAGCCACCCTCCTTTTGTTCCACGAGAAACGAGCATCCCGCCCCTT